CTATAGATAATTAATTTATAACAGCTGTATAAGCAAACACAAACTTACTGAACTCCAGGTGTAGGTTCGACCACAAGGCGCCGTTAGGAGCAAGTAAATGATGTGTGAGTGGTGTAGGAAAGTGTGTAATGTAACCTGACGTCACCGATGTAATCGTTCAGCAGGACCACATACGTAGCCACGCTCCACAAGGCGCAATCACTTTAGAGGGCGCCTACCGTAATCGGAACTCAAAGTCTAACGTCAGATAGCACAAACTATAATAGAAGAGAATGCGATCTCCTCCCGGATCACAAAGTTTAGCGTTCAACCGATAAAGCAAAATTCCTTCGTGCGATATTAAAATAGTCAATCAAAACTCAAAAAAATCCTCGTTGTCACGTATATTAACGAAATAAAACAACACAATGGAGGCCGTCGTGATGCGACGTAGCAATTCTTACGTAACTCGTGAACGGGAAGCTGCACATGCTGTTAATTTACGTACCTATACACAGTAGGGCAGCGCGATGAACCCCGCTTGCCCTGCCTGTGACCGTACGGGAAGCTGCACATGCTATTAATTTACGTACCTATACAAAGTAGTGCAGCGCAATGAAACCCGCTTGCCCTGCCTGTGACCATACGGGAAGCTGCACATGCTGTTAATTTACGTACCTATACAAAGTAGTGCAGCGCGATGAACCCCGCTTGCCCTGCCTGTGACCGTACGGGAAGCTGCACATGCTGTTAATTTACGTACCTATACACAGTAGGGCAGCGCGATGAACCCCGCTTGCCCTGCCTGTGACCGTACGGGAAGCTGCACATGCTGTTAATTTACGTACCTATACAAAGTAGTGGAGCGCGATGAACCCCGCTTGCCCTGCCTGTGACCGTACGGGAAGCTGCACATGCTGTTAATTTACGTACCTATACACAGTAGTGCAGCGCGATGAACCCCGCTTGCCCTGCCTGTGACCGTACGGGAAGCTGCACATGCTGTTAATTTACGTACCTATACAAAGTAGTGCAGCGCGATGAACCCCGCTTGCCCTGCCTGTGACCGTACGGGAAGCTGCACATGCTGTTAAATTTACGTACCTATACAAAGTAGTGCAGCGCGATGAACCCCGCTTGTCTTGCCTGTGACCGTACGGGAAGCTGCACATGCTGTTAATTTACGTACCTATACAAAGTAGTGCAGCGCGATGAACCCCGCTTGGCCTGCCTGTGACCGTACGGGAAGCTGCACATGCTGTTAATTTACGTACCTATACACAGTAGGGCAGCGCGATGAACCCCGCTTGCCCTGCCTGTGACCGTACGGGAAGCTGCACATGCTGTTAATTTACGTACCTATACACAGTAGGGCACCGCGATGAACCCCGCTTGCCCTGCCTGTGACCATACGGGAAGCTGCACATGCTGTTAATTTACGTACCTATACACAGTAGGGCAGCGCGATGAACCCCGTTTGCCCTGCCTGTGACCGTACGGGAAGCTGCACATGCTGTTAATTTACGTACCTATACAAATTAGCGCAGCGCGATGATACCCGCTTGCCCTGCCTGTGACCGTACGGGAAGCTGCACATACTGTTAATTTACGTACCTATACACAGTAGGGCACCGCGATGAACCCCGCTTGCCCTGCCTGTGACCGTACGGGAAGCTGCACATGCTGTTAATTTACGTACCTATACGCAGTAGGGCAGCGCGATGAACCCCGCTTGCCCTGCCTGTGACCGTACGGGAAGCTGCACATGCTGTTAATTTACGTACCTATACAAAGTAGTGCAGCGCGATGAACCTCGCTTGCCCTGCCTGTGACCGTACGGGAAGCTGCACATGCTGTTAATTTACGTACCTATACACAGTAGTGCAGCGCGATGAACCCCGCTTGCCCTGCCTGTGACCGTACGGGAAGCTGCACATACTGTTAATTTACGTACCTATACACAGTAGTGCAGCGCGATGAACCCCGCTTGCCCTGCCTGTGACCGTACGGGAAGCTGCACATGCTGTTAATTTACGTACCTATACACAGTAGGGCAGCGCGATGAACCCCGCTTGCCCTGCCTGTGACCGTACGGGAAGCTGCACATGCTGTTAATTTACGTACCTATACAAAGTAGTGCAGCGCGATGAACCCCGCTTGCCCTGCCTGTGACCGTACGGGAAGCTGCACATGCTGTTAATTTACGTACCTATACAAAGTAGTGCAGCGCGATGAACCCCGCTTGCCCTGCCTGTGACCGTACGGGAAGCTGCACATGCTGTTAATTTACGTACCTATACAAAGTAGTGCAGCGCGATGAACCCCGCTTGCCCTGCCTGTGACCGTACGGGAAGCTGCACATGCTGTTAATTTACGTACCTATACACAGTAGTGCAGAGCGATGAACCCCGCTTGCCCTGCCTGTGACCGTACGGGAAGCTGCACATGCTGTTAATTTACGTACCTATACACAGTAGTGCAGCGCGATGAACCCCGCTTGCCCTGCCTGTGACCGTACGGGAAGCTGCACAGGCTGTTAATTTACGTACCTATACAAAGTAGTGCAGCGCGATGAACCCCGCTTGCCCTGCCTGTGACCGTACGGGAAGCTGCACATGCTGTTAATTTACGTACCTATACAAAGTAGTGCAGCGCGATGAACCCCGCTTGCCCTGCCTGTGACCGTACGGGAAGCTGCACATGCTGTTAATTTACGTACCTATACAAAGTAGTGCAGCGCGATGAACCCCGCTTGCCCTGCCTGTGACCGTACGGGAAGCTGCACATGCTGTTAATATACGTACCTATACAAAGTAGTGCAGCGCGATGAACCCCGCTTGCCCTGCCTGTGACCGTACGGGAAGCTGCACATACTGTTAATTTACGTACCTATACAAAGTAGTGCAGCGCAATGAACCCCGCTTGCCCTGCCTGTGACCGTACGGGAAGCTGCACATGCTGTTAATTTACGTACCTATACACAGTAGTGCAGCGCGATGAACCCCGCTTGCCCTGCCTGTGACCGTACGGGAAGCTGCACATGCTGTTAATTTACGTACCTATACAAAGTAGTGCAGCGCGATGAACCCCGCTTGCCCTGCCTGTGACCGTACGGGAAGCTGCACATGCTGTTAATTTACGTACCTATACACAGTAGTGCAGCGCGATGAACGCCGCTTGCCCTGCCTGTGACCGTACGGGAAGCTGCACATGCTGTTAATTTACGTACCTATACACAGAGCGCGGTGCAGCGCGATGAACCCCGCTTGCCCTGCCTGTGACCGTACGGGAAGCTGCACATGCTGTTAATTTACGTACCTATACAAAGTAGTGCAGCGCGATGAACCCCGCTTGCCCTGCCTGTGACCGTACGGGAAGCTGCACATGCTGTTAATTTACGTACCTATACAAAGTAGTGCAGCGCGATGAACCCCGCTTGCCCTGCCTGTGACCGTACGGGAAGCTGCACATGCTGTTAATTTACGTACCTATACAAATAGTAGGGCAGCGCGATGAACCCCGCTTGCCCTGCCTGTGACCGTACGGGAAGCTGCACATGCTGTTAATTTACGTACCTATACAAAGTAGTGCAGCGCGATGAAACCCCGCTTGCCCTGCCTGTGACCGTACGGGAAGCTGCACATGCTGTTAATTTACGTACCTATACACAGTAGTGGCAGCGCGATGAACCCCGCTTGCCCTGCCTGTGACCGTACGGGAAGCTGCACATGCTGTTAATTTACGTACCTATACACAGTAGTGCAGCGCGATGAACCCCGCTTGCCCTGCCTGTGACCGTACGGGAAGCTGCACATGCTGTTAATTTACGTACCTATACACAGTAGTGCAGCGCGATGAACCCCGCTTGCCCTGCCTGTGACCGTACGGGAAGCTGCACATGCTGTTAATTTACGTACCTATACACAGTAGTGCAGCGCGATGAACCCCGCTTGCCCTGCCTGTGACCGTACGGGAAGCTGCACATGCTGTTAATTTACGTACCTATACACAGTAGGGCAGCGCGATGAACCCCGCTTGCCCTGCCTGTGACCGTACGGGAAGCTGCACATGCTGTTAATTTACGTACCTATACAAAGTAGTGCAGCGCGATGAACCCCGCTTGCCCTGCCTGTGACCGTACGGGAAGCTGCACATGCTGTTAATTTACGTACCTATACAAAGTAGTGCAGCGCGATGAACCCCGCTTGCCCTGCCTGTGACCGTACGGGAAGCTGCACATGCTGTTAATTTACGTACCTATACAAAGTAGTGCAGCGCGAAGAACCCCGCTTGCCCTGCCTGTGACCGTGCGGGAAGCTGCACATGCTGTTAATTTACGTACCTATACAAAGTAGTACAGCGCGATGAACCCCGCTTGCCCTGCCTGTGACCGTACGGGAAGCTGCACATGCTGTTAATTTACGTACCTATACACAGTAGGGCACAGCGATGAACGCCGCTTGCCCTGCCTGTGACCGTACGGGAAGCTGCACATGCTGTTAATTTACGTACCTATACACAGTAGGGCAGCGCGATGAACCCCCTTGCCCTGCCTGTGACCGTACGGGAAGCTGCACAGGCTGTTAATTTACGTACCTATACAAAGTAGTGCAGCGCGATAAACCCCGCTTGCCCTGCCTGTGACCGTACGGGAAGCTACACAGGCTGTTAATTTACGTACCTATACAAAGTAGTGCAGCGCGATGAACCCCGCTTGCCCTGCCTGTGACCGTACGGGAAGCTGCACATGCTGTTAATTTACGTACCTATACAAAGTAGTGCAGCGCGATGAACCCCGCTTGCCCTGCCTGTGACCGTACGGGAAGCTGCACATGCTGTTAATTTACGTACCTATACAAAGTAGTGCAGCGCGATGAACCCCGCTTGCCCTGTCTGTGACCGTACGGGAAGCTGCACAGGCTGTTAATTTACGTACCTATACAAAGTAGTGCAGCGCGATGAACCCCGCTTGCCCTGCCTGTGACCGTACGGGAAGCTGCACATGCTGTTAATATACGTACCTATACAAAGTAGTGCAGCGCGATGAACCCCGCTTGCCCTGTCTGTGACCGTACGGGAAGCTGCACATGCTGTTAATTTACGTACCTATCATTTAAAAATCTCTCACTTTATAATAAAGGCGCTATAAAAAAAACCCATACAACTGAAATACACGACGTGCAGCTTACCTTTTTTTAATGTTAGTTTAGTCAATGTAAGTATTTTTAGAAATTCATAACAATTAATTAATAAATATGATATAGGGTTGTTTTAAGAGATGAGTATCTGCTGAATTACTTACGAATCTTTCCATTATTTTACTTTTATAATGTCAGGTTATAAATTATAATTTATTTAATGGATAATAATTTTTATCTGACGATCAAAAATCGGTCCTTAATCAAATCTTTCGTACCTACTTAAAACTATTGTAGCATGTAATAGCGATGTAATTATTTAATACCATTTAATTGTTTATAAACAATATTCATTACAACAGAAAACCAAAATGTTAAATTATCACACAGTCCTGTTCCTGGCGTCTTGTACCAAGAACGCTGTACAGGATATTTGAATTATGCTGTATTTAAACTTCAGACAAAAAAAGAACCAACCCCTTTTGTCTTCAGTGACGACGATCAGTCACGGACATAATTCCTTTAAAAAATCACCGCACGTTGATCCCACGAACTGATAATTTCCACAGAATTTATAAAAGCAAGAGCCCTTGGATGATGACGTTCAGATATCCGTGGTAGCACAACTCACCAGCATGTTTCTTATATAAAAGTCCATGAAGCCTAAACTCGTCTACGCCGCTATCACGAGGGTATCGATGAGGTTAACAGATTGTGCCTCTTAATTAGATTCTCAAGGCTATACGCGGACTTTTCCCATCAATTAAAGTGACTTGATGGTAAAGCGTATAATAATTTAAGCTCATTTAGTAACAATGTATTTTGTTCAAATTTTATGACACAATAAAGTCAAATTTTAAGACAACTTACAAAATATCTGTATACGGCAAAGGGCACGTACTCCATCATCACAAAGACGTCAGCGACCGCGAGCCACTTCAGCAAGCGGTTGATTGGAGCCGCGGCCAGGTCACGTCTCGTCAACACAGCAACATTTAGAGCATTCGCCAAGCTACCGAAAAAGCATACCTAAAAATGACATACATTTGAACATTTAATAAATAAAGATTAATTTAAGAGAGATCGTGTGAGTAAGTGATGGTTCTAAATTCGAATTCTAACCGAAGTTACCATTTCTTAAAATATCTAAATTATTAGTTGTTAGAATCTGGTAGTGTTGGGATGATCCCCGTGTCTGTGAATTCTAGCGTACTTTCATCTGATGTAAATAAACAACTAATGTATATTAAACACGGGCAGCAGCATTTTAAATTCAAAAGTTTCACGATGCACTACACTAATGAAAGGTAGACGCCGCTAGGCCATCTCATTAGAATATACATTAACTTAACCGAAATGAGTTTTAAACAAATACAAAATATCATTTCCTCTTTAGTAACAAACCAAACACGAACAGGTAACTGACGCAATAAAAGTCATCAAAAAGCCATTACAGGCGCACAGTAAATATTTTGGTGTTATGCGATACTAAATTGCCAAAGCTTAACTCAATTAACCGAGTTTGTAGGCCGAACATAACATTAAAATCAATAATTAATATCTTACTTATAATTATAATACTAAAATATTTAAACTTTTTGTTCATTACATTTAAGAAGTTATATTAATTAAAACTTAAGCTCTACTTTTAGAAACAGCTATTCCGTTTATGCTTTAGGAAAAAATTAGTTTCTAAGGAGGTGATAGCACCTCTGAAATTGGTATCTTACCCTAACTTTTCTCGCACCATACAGCTCACGGATTTATTACAATTTAAAAGGCAAGAGAGTCAGTACAATTTCAGCCTGTGGGCCATTTAATTCTAATTATTAGGGAGAATTTCTCGTAGTTGCCAAGCTGGGCAGGCAGATAAATGATTCAATCATGTAACGCGGACAAGATGTCACGAGTTCCTTGTAGATGTGTAAACACTGCGTTGCGCTGCGCAATTGCGGCAACTCATTTCTCTCAAAAAATGTTAACTCAGTTGTTCAAAATGTTGGTGCACAGCGCAAGACCGAGAATTACGAAAGATGTTAAGGGTGTTCAGTTGCCTACAGAATGTTGTTAAATATTAATTAACATTCAACAACATTTCTGTTATTGCACCAATATTATTTTATGTTATTTTTATGAACTGGAAATTCTTTAAATGTAAAAGGAGTGATAGGTAATTTCACAGATACTAGTCAGAGAGGTAATCTCACTGTATTTTGTTCTAATAATAATTTTGAGTTAACATAGTAAACTGAGTAACACAAAGAATTTTGCTGAGTTACCCATGTCTAGTTTCTTGGTACCTCCTATTATCCTTGGTATCTCCTAAATAACTACACCCACAAGGTCTTGGTTCTCTGTATATTTATTATACTTTTATAAATGCTTTAACTTTAATAAAAACGTTTTTATGTTACAATTTTTCGTAGGCAATTTAAGACCGTTTGCGGACACATGATGTGATCATAAAAAAATACCAACCAGTGAACGTTTAGATTTAATATTAAAACAATTCTTATCTCGAAACAATAACGTATATTATTTCAAGCTTCTAAAAATGAGTCAACGTGGACAGTTAATGTGTTTCGCGCAATTAATTCATAATTTGTGCATACTATGTATGTTATATTTATTTATTATTGGTATCTAATTACTCTCAGACTTATACTAATTCGTATGTAATGTTTTATATATGACAAATTTTCGTTTTGGAAAAATATTAAAAAAAATTGTCATATATTTTTGTTTGTGAAATTCATAGAACACAAAGAAGTTAAAATTTTAATCACCAGTAATAAATAATAAATAACTCAGAATAAAAATATTGCGTCCTTAACTGGGTAAAATTACAAAATTGTTTTTTGAAAACCAGACATATTTACGCAAGATTTTATAATTCCGAGACTTCGGCGCTAACCTTGAAATATTGTGTAAACAAAATGTTTCCACCGTTATTAAGAAAACCCGTTAACTTAGTATTTCTGTAATCGCAAATTATGCGGTTATTCAGCACAGCGAAAGTTTATCAAAAAAGTCCTAACAACTCTATAACAACTCTGTATGTATTAAAAAGGTCTGGTCTTGGTTTAGATTGCGGTATAACGAGATGATTATACCGCAATCTATTGAAAGTTATAAAACTTTTCTGATATTTCACACAACACGGGGCGAACTTGGTTGATGAACTCAAAAATTATATGGATGCTGTAGCCGTGGGGTGGCGGCGCGAGAGAACCCATCACCCCGAGTCGATTGTCCTCTATCTCATATGAAACACGTATGTAGCTAAACCACAGAAAGCCATAAAACACGGTTCTGAACAAGCTATATTACCTACGGTTGTAGCACGGAAGGGTCGGTTCGACCGGGGAATTGCCACGCTCTCACAAAATACCAGCGTAAAATAGCAGCTTAACGCTGCTGTGTTTCACATGGTGAGTGTGGAGAACTGGAGACCCGTTTTACTGAAATGAGGGCATTCCATCTTAGTCCTTAGGGGTGACAACGCATCTGCATTTTGATTCTTAATCGAGGTTAAATGTAGATGTCTATGGGCCACAGCATCCACTTACCCCTAGGCGGACTGTGTGCACGTTTGTCACCTTAATTCTAAAAAAAAAAGTTTTGACGCATTTTTTTTATCTTATCTCAAATTGCACAATAGTTAAATACTTACTAAACTAAAATTTATATGAATTTAATATAAAAGTTACCGGTAAAATGACTTACGATTAGGCTGACATAGCCGTGAACGCTGTTGTAGGCGAGGATGAATTCCCGGAAACCGCCTTCGCAATAATTACACGATGTTGTATCCATATGTTTCGTCAAGTTTAATTTACTCCTCCAGCCGTCCACCAATTTGACTAAAGCACCAAAATCCATGCCATCGTTGGTGCTCTTATAAGAATGTTCTTTTAACGCGGTTATAAATTGGGATAAGTCAATATCTGTATTATTATCGTCTGAAACTTCAGTTGCTAGAAGCATTTCTCCAAATAGGTTTGATAATACTTGAGTAAAATTAGACGTACTGTTTTCATCAATCGACATATTGGTATTATTGTGAACCAAATTATCGTGTTATTCAAAAATTTGGCTTAGTTTCTCACATCAACCTACGTCAGTATCCTGAAAAAAATTGGCATTAATAAAATACGTTACAAAACCTTTTTTCGTTTGGCACTCTCGTCGTCTATCAATCAGAGAAGCAGTCCAGGTTTTAAATCTCAGTTGTACGTTTTAGAGCCATGCGTCGTCTTGTAGTCAAAGTAGCAGGTTCTAATCTTAGCTAGATGTACGTGGTAAAGCCATGCTACTGCTATATTAGGGTGATAGCACGAATGGGTCCGCTCGACCGGGAAAGAACGATGCTCTCACCATGCCAGTGTAGAATAGCAGCTTAATGCTGCTGTGTTTCGTACGGTGAGTGCAGAGAACCGAAGACCCTTGTTACTGGGAAAGAAGCATTCCAACTTAGTTCTTAGGGGTGGCAACGAATCTACATTTTGATTCTTACTAGTTCTCTGTGAACAACACGATTAAATTACCAATAGGCGGACTGTATGCTCGTTGATCACCCTTATTCTATTAAAAATGTTTAGTGTGAATGAGTGCCTCAGTTTTAACGCATGACCTTATCGCACAATAATAGTTTTAGCGCAACTAATTTAAGTTTAAACTGAAAGTTATCAACATAGCCAAAACGGACAATTTGTATTTAAAAATTCAAGGATACATATTTAAATTTACTATTTTTCTAACATTTTGATATATGAAACGGCGTTGTAAATGCAAAACATTTGATATTCGAGGGGATTTCTAATCTAAGAGCCAAGAGTACTACGGTCAGTTTTTTCATGTTGGAAGAAGTTTATAAAAAGAACCCATACCAGCATATAAAATATTTAAAAAGTGGTGTTTTGATAGTTGTGTGAACAGATGGCCCAGCAAACTGAATGAAGCTCAAGATAACTCTGCTCGTGGCAATACGCCAAATAACTAATTTACTAAAAAAAATCGGTTGCTTCATGTCTAGATTTTGTGTATTGAATAAAGGCCAAACTTTTATGTTGCGACATACATACAAATGACAACTGACATATTATGTAAACACCACCTAATTGTATACATTCCTTGAACAGCTATATTTAGATTTTGGATTTATTAAAAATGTAAATACAGTAAATCGATATAATTATTTTTTATATAACATACATAACATAACATAAATACTCACACCTGTCACCCAGAGGGGTAAACAGAGACTACATACTTACATTTGGCACGACCCCGACACACTTCTCTCGTCTCCTCCACATCCATATACCTACGCATAGATGCTCGTCGGTTAAGGGTACTTAGTTTGGCCCGTTTCCGATATATCTCCAATTTGGTCGATATACTTTCACCTAGGATGTCCTTTTCCGACTCTGCCGTTCACTTCTGCAACATAAATTTTCTTTCTCACTCTTTTGTCATTCATTGTTTCCGCATGACCAAACCACCGAAACATTCCTTTCTTAATCCTGATCACAACATAATCTTGCAAACCATACTCTTCTCTTATCACACAATTTCTCACCCTATCATTCAGATTCAGGCCTAACATACTCCATAACGACCGCATTTCTACTGCGTTTATTCTACTCCCGTGCTTTTTCTGCCATACCCAACTTTCACTACCATACGTTAAAGTAGGGATCAACACAGCATTGTGAATTGCTATACGTGCCTTTTTTGACACATTCTGACTTTTCACAATAGAGTGTAGGGCCCCATTTACTCTATTTCCTGCGTTCACGCGTTGTTCTATATCCTTATCATATCTCCGTCCCCGCTAAATACGCATCCCAATATACAAACTCATCTACTTCGTCGATCAACTCCCGTTCCATTCTTATTTCACATATCGTTTTACTTTCTTCTCTTTCAAAAACCATAAAACCATTTGCAACTCGGCCGCCGACGACACAATAATAACTTCATCGGCGTACAAGAGGCATTTGACGGTTAACTCACCAATTCTTAATCCGCAATCTTCAGCTTTCAAATTTTCTAAACAACTCTCCATAAATAGGTTGAACAGCCACGGGAAAGCCACACATTCATGTCTAACACCTTTATGGATGCCAAACACTGAGATCCTAACACAAGCACTGGAGTACCTATAAAGAGACTTTAATGCCTGTGTTTGCCATAGCACATCCCCGTCCACTCTGTCATAGGCCTTCCAAGTTCATGAACGCACAAAAAACCTTTTGGTTTTTGACCAAAAACTTTTCCGCGATCATGCGCATGGAAATGACTTGGTCTATACACCCCATTCCCTTTCTATATCCTGCTTGCACATCCCAAATTTTCATGACCCTTTCAACTAGTACTCTATCATAGAGTTTTCCCACAATGAAAAATATAAAAAATATCTCAATACCCTAAAAAAATGTATACATAAATCGTTACAATTACAAAATAGAAAGTATATAGATAGGCATAAAAATAAATGCAAAGCAGTTTGGGAGGTTATAAATGCGAATATTGGTAAAATGAATGTAAATTTCCAAACAGATACTATTCTAAATAATAACGAAATTTATTCTGAACCAAATGACATTAGTGAAGGTTTTAATAATTTTTATATAGACATGACCAATACAAATGATTTTAATTTTAAAATAGATGACATAAATACTACTATGAATGTCAATTATTTAAATACAATATTTTTAAAACCAACAGATGAAATTTTAATAAATAATATAATTAAAAGACTTAATAATACTAATTCAGTAGGATTAGATACTATAAATACAAAAATAATCAAAGCCTGTGCTAAGTATATATATGTGCACCTTTGAGTTACATTATAAATATGTCGCTTGAGGAAGGTACTTTCCCTGAAATTTTAGAAAAATCAATCGTTAAGCCATTATTTAGGAATGGAGAGGCTACAGATATGTATAATTATCTCCCAATCACCTTAATACCAGTTTTATCCAAAATATTTAAAAAGGTAATGATGAAAAGACTTTACTATTACGTTACAAATCAAAATATTATTAAAAATGAGCAGTTTGGGTTTAGAAAAAATAGTAACACGACATTAGCATGCTTTATTTTAATAAAATATATTACGGAGGCCATTAATGAAAGGGCACCGATAAGTGCGATCTTCCTTGATATGACTAATGATTTCGATTTCGTGGACCATACATAATACATAAACACTCACGCCTGTCACCCAGAGGGGTAGGCAGAGACTACGGACTTCCATTTGGCACGATCCTGACATACCTCTTTCGCCTCCTTTACATCCATATATCTACGCATACATGCTCGTCGGTTAAGGGTACTTCTAACGTGACCCATTTTCAAAATATCGCCAATTTGGTCGATAAACTTTTTCCTAGGGCGTCCCTTCCCGACTCTGCCGTTCACATCTGCCATATAAAGGGGGACGCCCATTTTCGGCCATGGAACGCCCAACAATGTGAATTTGTTAAAAAATTATATCTTTATTTGTGGTTATTAATCGCGGTATTCATTTATCCTCAAACAATGGGAATATTTTTGCACAAATTAAAAGTACCGGAAACATAATAATAAAAATTAGGTAAATCATTATGTCATTAGTTTGTGAATAAAAAAAAGTGTTGCCAATCACAAAACACATTTAAAAAATCGATTCTCTTTTTCGATCGATTATTTACGGTGTCATCATTATAGTGCTAATATAATTTTTAAATAATTATGATGTTACGATAATTAAACAAGCGAATTACTAGCTGATTTCCAATGAATTCTTTAGAGAGTAACAAATGCTACGGCACAATTTAACTGTTAATCTTAACCGATCTTCTTTGAAAACAGATAAGAACTGTTATTCTTATCTGTTTTTAAAGAAGATCGGTTAAGTTATTCTTATCCGTTTATAACAATACATTTAAAATAGAATCATGTTATGATAACGAAACAAGTTAGTTTCCAGCTGATTTACTATGAATCCTTTAACCTTTTTGAGCGCCAAAGTCGCCTATACTTGACCAACACCTGCGGGCCCTGAGCGCTAACGACGTCTATAGTTGACAAAAAACCCGGCTCCGAAAAAATATGAAATATAGATATTGGAAAATTATTACAGGTATTTTAATTCTACACTCCTCAAAATAGGAATAACCCAGCAACATGTGAGTATAAAAAACAAGTCTTCTAGAGCCACAAGTACTAAGAAACATTGAACTAATAAAAATGGATTTTTATCTAAGCAAATAATATGTCCTGCACGCCAAAGTCGTCTATGGTTGACCGCTAGTGTCAAACGCGGGTGGCATAGATTTCTTGAAAACTATCAAAAATTCAGCTCAATGGTGTTTTTTGATTGATTGGTGAACAAATATGTTTATTTATTCCATGACCAAGATTTTAGTATTATAAGGCTGATTTACCTAGTGCGAATAATTATATACAATTGTTGATTAATGAATAATTATGTACCTTTTTTTTATAATAATACAAAATTACAATTAATGTTCTTTTTACTTAGGGTGTGAAGAGCAATTTTTCATTTTGTGTTGTGCCATTTTCTTTCTCAGTCTCAAAATCATCTAGCAGTATCAGCATCATATCAAATCCCCATTGTCATAAGAGTGTAAGACTTTTCTTCTGTGCGTCACTTGGCCTACGCCTTCCCCGACACATAAAATATTATGAATCGATGTCTGTATATTTCGGTTAGATCGATTTTGAAATCGATACACAACATTCTAAGAATGTTTCAAAAAGGAAGGTCAGCTACGCCGTTGTCGTCCAGTCGCGACAGTGTCGTCATTAGGAGAGTAGTGCTGTGGTTTACTACTATTTTATTGTTATTGTTTAAAAATACACTTAAAATAGAATTTAAATAAATAAAGGAAAATACATTTTAAAAAGCGAGCAGAAGCACCTCCAAGATTATTCTCTTTTTTATGGAATTATTAATCGAATAATAATCGATTCGATATTATGATAATTAAAAAAGCGAATTACTAGCTGATTTACTATGAATTCTTTAGAGT